TTTTTTTTTTTTTTTTTTTTTTGTACTGGGGATTGAACTAGGGACTTTGTGCTTGTGAGGCAGGCGGCAGCACCACTGAGCTAAACCCCCACGTTCTAAAATGGAAAATCTGTGCTGAGGAACAAACTTTTATGACTAAATGAGAAATTAGCCATGCAAAGTAAAGCTATCTGAATTATAATGTATAACTATATGCTATCCCATTTGATTTTACTACTTAATGAAACTCATTTAATGATAATATAATTTCCTCAATTTTAAGAAATAGGATTAGGTTCCTTTCTGAGACACATAAGAGAAGCTGGACATTTTGAGAAATAACACTGTCTTACTGCACCTGGACAATTATATATTGTGCCACTAGATCTGCTAGTATTTACCATGCATCAGATAGCATGTTAGTATGCTGTGCAATTACATACATTACCTTATTTAATTGTACTTTTAAAAATAAAAAAATAATTTTTTTGAGAGTTTCTCACTATGTATTCATTCCAGGATATCCTCAAATTTGTGGCAATTCTCCTGTTTCAGCCTCTGAAATGGTGGGATCACAGGTGTGCACCAGCACACCTGGCTTATCTGTAATTAAATCCCTATGGGATTGGTGGTGGTAACCCCCACTGTATGATGGGGCAACAAGCCCAAAGTTGTATCAGTAGCAAGTGGTGGAGCGAAGATTCAAGACGTAAGTGTACCTGACACCAAAGCTGTTATCCTGTGACACCTGAAGGACTCAATGTCATCTGTCACTTTTTGAACTATTATGTCCTTTGTTAACTTAAGAGTTTTAGAGTACTAAATGAGTACCTGGTCATTATGAGGAGGGAAGTATTTTATTCCTTTATAAGGTTACACAGAACAGTTGTTTCTATACTTAGTTTCTCTTCATTTCTTGGTGCTGTTATTTCACCTTTTATTTATTCTTGTTGTCATTAAGGTAACTATGGGGCAATCCCAAATTGCTTTTATAACTGTTGTTTATCTTCTGTGGCCTGTCTGGGAGACACCCTACATTACTACTTATCTGCCCACAAAAGAATCTTCCACAGTAACAGATTAACCCACTTATAAAAAAGGACAAAGTTTTAAAATTTTTGCATGAAATCATATGTTACCCAGAAAAATTAAAAGAACAAGAATTTGAAAGGAAAATATTTATTACGTTCCATTGTTGAGTGCCATTTGAAAAAAAATGGAATATTAGGCATAAAAAGATTGAAGAGAAACTGCCATTATCTTATAATTGTTGCCTTCTTGGTGGTGTTTGATCCAAGACAGGCCATTGAGATTACTTCCCTGGGATTTTCCAAACTGGAACTAAAGAAAGAAGGTAATCTGTCTTAAGTGGTAAAAGTGGAATAATATGAGTCTAGGTGGTAGTGATGTTTCTGACTCATGGAGGAAGTTGGTATGAGAAAAGGAGGCAAACATTCAGAGACAAAATACAGAGTTCTGTTTCTGTAGTTTTTTTTCTTGGTACCAGGGATTGAACTTGGGACCTTGTGCTTGGCAAGTGAGGAAGTGAGGTACCGTTGAGCTAAATCCCTGGTCCTGTATTTCTTATGCGTAAGCTAGTTCAAGCTGATTATACAATACCTAAAACTAAAATAGTGACTGACACATGCTGAGACACCAAATAATCAAACCTATTAAGACTTACAATTTGATAATTTTTTTCCCCAAGTGAAATACAAGGTCTTTAATGCTGAGGCTTTGATAGGTGAACTAGGATACCCCCAGTCCCTACCCATTCATGATAGAATTTAATATGTGAATCTAAGATAAATGGGGTCATTATCTTACTGGCAACATCTCAGGGATTCTAGAGCCAATAAATCCATTCACTCATAACATTGTCTTCCCAACTGTTTAATGTGTGAAATTCTGGCTTCCTAAAAGGCTTACCAGTAAAAGCGGTACTAAGAAATATTTTGAGAAGGATACCGAAAGAGAAAAACACATTGGTGCTGTTGTTTCTAAATCTTCAGTAAAAAAGGAAAGGAGAATGACTTAGAAAAATATTTTTCTAAACAGTGACTAACTTGCTAATTTCTTTTGGTATTGCCACTAAATCTACTAGGTTGTACCTGGGATACCCTTTTGATGAAAGCTTTCTAGAGATCATCACTATCTTCCAATTGAGGGTAAAAAAAAAAAAGATTTTGTTGTTAACCAAAATACTGATTGTTTAGGTAAATATTCTGAAGGAAGCTGAGTGGAATTTGAAGCCCTCCCTAACCTGTGTTGTTTTGGAATTGATCTTAAAAGAGGTAATAAACACTTAAAACTGGGCTGTTCTGAAATTTCCCTTGCCATTAGAATTGAACTGAAGGTCGCTAGTTCCAGAGACATTGTTAGGGCAGAAGTTTTCAAAACTTGTTTTAGTCTTATATAACTCTCTCTTCAGTCTTAAAACAGAGACCCAGTACTTAAAAGATAAAAACTGAGCCAAGCATGGTGGTGCATGCCTGTAATCCCAGCACTTGGGAGGCCGAGGCAGGAGAATCATGGTGAGTGAGTTCGAGAGCAGCCTGGGCTACACAGTGAGTTCCAGGGCAGTATGAATGACATAGTGAGACCCTGTCTCAAACGAAACAAACTCCCCCCCAGAAGATAAAAACTGAGCATTCTCTTTGCAGAAAGGAAGATGATATGCATCAGCTGAAGGCAGGGGCTCATTTTTTACCTCTTTTGCTACCGCAATACCAGTGGTGGCTGCCCAGACAACCACTGGTGGCCTGGATTAACAATTTTATTTTGGATGGTAGTTCATTGATGCACAAATTTAAAATATGCATCTTTTGACCTCAGATTTTAAATGTGCAGAGGAAGTTTTTATATAGAAATAATAGCTTCATGGGCTGGGGATTTAGCTCAGTGGGTCTGCCGCCTGCCTCACAAGCGCAAGGACCTGAGCTCGATCCCTGGTACCAAAAAAAAAAAAAAAAAAAAAGAAAAAAAGATAATAGCTTCAGGGTATAATGATGTATATATGTCTATGTATCTTCTCAAACAGTACTGCGCTTAGTAATGAAAAATTGGGAGTAGAATGCTTGTTAATAGAGTTAAATCAGGCATTTTTATAAAATGGAATACTATTCTTTCTAATAAAAATATGTCTATATAAGTATCAGTGTTGGATGATTTCAAACATTTAGTTACATTTAAAAAAGTTACGGAGTGGACCATAATATTATAATTAATTATTTTTAAAAAATCATATATAACATTGCCACATAGGAGAAAAGATTGAATTTTAGTAAATATCATGGAGAAGGGATTTGGAAGGCTTTTACTTTCACTGTTTCTGAGTTACATAAAATGTAATTACAATGTACTACTTTTATGAAAAGAAAGAAGATAACTGCCACCTGACTGTTGCACTCTGCTTAACTCAATGGATGCGTATAATTTTTTTTAGGGTTAAACCATTTATTACGGATAGATAATGATAGAGCAAAAACAAGTTACTTGTTAGTCTGCATGAGCCCTGGGTAACATTTTTTGGAGGGTGCGTATAATTTTTAAGTCAAATGGTAACAGGGGAGCTCAATATACGATGTCTAATTCTGGGGTAGTCTCTATGCTTGGTCAGTTGATTCAAGGTAAGGGATTATGTCCCACTTCCCTATGCTGGTTTACTTTAGTGACCTTTCTCTTTAATCTCATTCAGAGCCACAGAGAGATGCATAAGCAGTAAAAATAAATGTTTTTGCTGGGTATGACAGTGCATGCTACTAAGGAGGCCGAGGCAGGAAGAGCACAAGTTTAACTAGCTTTATAGTTTACTTCAGACTATGTCTCAAAATAAAAATAAAAACAAGGGCACTGGGCATGGTGGCACTTGCCTGTAATCCCAGGAGGCTGAGGCAGGAGGTTCACTATGAGTTCAGAGACCAGCCTGGGCTAAATAGTGAGTTCCAGGTCAGTTTCAACTACATAGTGAGACCCTATCTCAAAAAACAAACAAACAAACAACAAAAACCAAAAGAAAACAAAAAAACAAGGGCCAGGGATGTTTCTCAGAGGTAGCGTACTTGCCTAGCTTGTATGAGGCTCTGAGTTTAATCACCAGCAATAAATTTATTTTTTTCACTGTAGAATACTTAGTTTATCCTTGTATTATTCTGTACAAGGGTTTATACATTTTTCTGATGTCCATGTACTTTTTCCTAATTGCAGAGCTGACTGGTACACTTGACAACTTGTTTGGAGGTTCTAGCAGGGGAGCGCAGCTATTCATATACCCTTGACCAAGGAAACGGTCCTCCTCTATCGGGGGTGGTCGTCCTCTTTGACGAGCGCGGGAGGGATGTACATGGAGTGGTGAGGGAGGAAGGGGACACCTGCCTAACCAGCTAGATAAGCCGAATCAACCCTGGCGATCAATGGGGTGACAGCCAGATCGCCCTCACATCCTTGACTGGTAAACTTGTATCTTGAAACTGGAGCTTTTTTCAAGTACTATAGGGACAAAATAAAGGAACCTTGATATAGTTCCTTTTTTTTTTAACCCCCTGTACTTGCATGAAAGGTAGAAATATAAATCTGAAAATTAAATGGAAGCAGTTCCTTTCTCTGCTATCGTCTTACCTGCAAGATAACGGATTGTCTCAAGTTTGTTAGACTCCATCAGTGTTTTTAAGGAAGCAATTTCAGTATCAATTTTATTGCTGGTCTCTGAAATAACACTTTTGATTTGGGTATCCTGTAAATAAAAATAAATATGAGAACTGAATTTTATTCTTATATATTATAGTCAAAAACATTTATATTAGAAACCCTCACTTAAGTGCTAACTGCAGACTTCAAAAGCTTCAAAAGTGGAGAAAAACAGTAAAAATATAATGGTGTTAGTATTAAAAAAACATTGCAAAATTGACAGATTACATTATATTCTTCCAACTGTCCCATTTGGAGGTAACTTCTTTTTTTTTTTTTTGTTTTTGGTTTTTTGAAACATGGTCTCAGTATGCAGTTCAGAATGGTCTTAAACTCACTATGTAGCAGAGTCTGGGATTGAATTCTCAGTGATCCTCCTGCCTCAGTCCGCCAAGTGCTGGGATAACAGGCGTGTGCCACCATGCCCACTGGAGGTGATTTCTTAGGATAATCACATAATAGGTATATTCACTAAACCTCATAAGATACTTGAGACCTATGTGTAATAAGATGAAAAATTTAGAAGAAACATTTTTTTTTTTTATAATTCCAGAACTATCACTTTAGTTTGTAAATTCCTTAGAATGTTATGGGTAAACTTTAAATATATTCTGCAAAAGAAAAAAAATCAACCAGGTTTATAATATGAACTGGAACCAATATAAAAGGAGCTGGCAAGTGTACCTGATGGGTGACAATGAATGTGCAGGGGTTGGATCTAAGAAGAGAGGTGTGAGAAAACTCTGCTGATTCCCTTGCTTATCTCCTTTCTCTGGCCAAGGAGAGAACAGGACCCTTAAAATGGCAAACATGATCTTTTGTTAAATACTAAGCAAGAGTGATGTCTTTTCTATTAAAAAGCCAAATGGCTTTTAACTTAAGAAAAAGCCTAGGTTGACTCAGAATGTTGGTGTTTCATCACGCCATAGAGATGAATAGTATCTACTTTATAAAGATTGATGTGAAAATTAAATGAATTCACAGATACAAGTAAGCTGCTAAATAGCATCTAGACTATAATAAATATTTAATAAACACTGTGATTTTAAAATTTAAGGCAATTATTTAAATCTAGATAATCATTTAAATACTAGTAGTGATTCTTTGTCTTTTGAAAATAGATATTGTCTATGTAAAAAGTTTTAAAAAGTATGCCATGTGAGCTGGGCATGGTGGTGCACGCCTGTAGTCTCAGAACTTGAAAGGCTGAGGCAGGAGGATCGCTAAGAGTGTGAAGCCTGCCTGGACTCCATAGAAATTCAGGACCAACCTGAACTACACAGTGAGACCCTGTCTCAAAAAAAAAAAAAAAAAAGTATCCCATGTAGAAAGCTTGACTGTATTCCAAGGAGTACAGCTAATATACAACCATCTACATGGGGGCAGCCTCCCCAGAACTGTGGTTAACTGTAACAGCCATAAGAAAACCATGGATTCTGCAGGACTTTTTAAAGTTCAAACTTATAAACTGATACACATAAAAGTAGTTATATAAGACCGTATGGAAGAGAAATTTCTACATGCTATCTTACCTTTCTGGTAAACTCTGTGGTTGCTTCCATAAGTTGCTTTTCTTGATCTGTAAACTAAGGAATATGAAGCAACAGGAAGTAAAAAAAAAACAAAGATTAAAAAAGATAAAAAAGGATTAAGCAGGGCTGGGGATTTAGCTCAGTGGTTCTACCACCTGTCTTGTAAGCACAAGGACCTGAGTTTGATTTCCGGTACCAACACACACACACACACACACACACACACACACACACACACGGAGTAAGGCACATTTAAGAAGTGCATTACCATATCTGTTACTCTGCTCCTTTCTAGGTTGATGTCCAGTTTATTATCTGCTCTGATTCGGCTGGTTTCATGCTTTAAAAAAAAAAATTAAGTGATTGTAGATGTGAAATGTTTTGAAATTAGTAAGTAGAAAAATTTCACTTACTGTCAGTTGTTGTTTAACTTGATCTAATTCAATTTTCATTTTCTAGGTATAAGAGAGATCACATGCAATTAACATTTTTTTTCAGCTTTAATTGAGTTTATTGGTACATTTTAGGGATACAGTACAGTTAACATTCATTGTTGGAATCTTGTACCTCTACATGACAAGTCTTGATTCTCATTTTTTCCCCTTACCCCAGCCCTCCCTTCACCCCCTCCTCTCCTCCCCATCTACAAACACTTTATTTTCATCTTTTCATTCTCTCACATTTTTTTCTTTTCCCTTTTTACTCTTCCCCTACCCATCCCACCTTCCCTACACCTTTAGCTCCTTTCTTCCCATTTCTAAATTGCAATTAACATTTAATCAAAAGTATATATTATGATTTACTTTAAAAAAATTGAAATCCTAGATTAGCACAGTTTGGACCTTTAAAGATTACTGATACAGAATCTAATAAAGAGGTATTTAAAAGAATAGGCTATCAAATTCAGAAAATAGCCAGGCATGGTGGTGCTTGCCTCTAATCCCTGCATTCAGGAGGCTGAGGCATAATTGCCATGAATTTGAGGCCAGCCTGGGCTACATCGTAAGTTCAAGGCCAGGATGAATTACATAGTGAAACCCTGTCTCAAAGAAGAAAAAAGAAAGAATTCTTAGGAAAAAAACATTAGACAAAGCACTTATGTTTTATTATTCTTTAAAGAAGATTTAATTTTCTGAATTTAAAAATATTTAAACTAAGAAATAATATTATCTTGAATTTCCAGTTTACAGAAACCTATTTTTCTCTTAAGTGACAAAGATAATTGGGAAAGGGTCAAATACAATGGAAAACCCATTACTCTTACCTTCACAAACATTGTATGATTAGCTATGGAATTTTTTTTTCCTTTTTGTAGGGCTGGGGATTGAACCCAAGGTTTGTGCACTGAGTTATATCCTTAAACTTTTTTATTTTGAGACTGGATCTTGCCAAGTACCTAAGTTGCATGAACTTTAAATCCTCCTGCCTTAGCCTCCCAGACTGCTGAGCTTAGAGGTATATACTACCATGCCTAGCTTACAATAGAAAAAACATTATTTTTTGGTATGGGGTATCCAACTGGGGACCTTGTGATTGTGAGGCTGGTGGCAGTACCACTGAGCTAAATCCCCAGCCCAGAAATTTCATATACTATATAGAACTCAAAAGATTTTCCCTTTTGTATGATTTTTACATATAAAATATAATTCTTATTTTTCATTATATAAGAACTGATTAGACATGGTTAAACATTTTTAATCTAAGTACTTATTAACTATTAACTGTTTAATAACCACATGAAGTTACTTGGTCTTACTAACTTATTCACCACGTAGCATACTTACAAGACCAGTTATTAGTAATAAATTAAAACATATCACCTCATTCTCTGCTCTCAGATTTGCAAATTCACTTTTTTCTAGGATGACCATATCTTTCCTGATAGAATCCAAATGAGCCATTAGCTGTTGGACTGTTATTTCCTAGAAAATAAAAATCAATGTGATTTATATGTCACCCTTTTATTTATGGATTTTTTCATAAAATTTAAAATAATGTGAAAATATTATAAAATATAATGTTGCCTGAAGTTAAAAAAAAAAAAAAAGAAACATTATCTGAAAAAAAAAATTTTTTTTTTGTTTTTGGTACCAGGGATCGAACTCGGGTCCTTGTGCTTGCGAGGCAGGTGGCGGAACCCCTGAGCTAAATCCCCAGCCCCCCAATTTTTTTTTTTTTTTTTTTTTGGTACTGGGGATCGAACTTGGGACCTGGTGCTTGTGAGGCAAGCGGTAGAACCACTGAGCTAAATCCCCAGCCCTATATAGCTGAAATATTAAAATAAAAAATGAGATTCAATTAAGAAAAAGTATTTCCCTGTAAGAGAAATAAATGTCTACATCTTTTATGGAAAGAATTCCAATAAAATGCTTATTTAAACCCTAAGAGTTTCTTAACAAATGATAAATAATAGAGGGTATAACAATTTTTCAGTCTTCAAAAGGTCTGGAATGCACACACTTCCAAAAGCAACTCTGAGGTGAGACATTCTTATAGATGTTAAAAGTATGAATTGTGGACTTAGGCTGCCTAGACCTGGATCTAAACTCTGCCACCTTCTGTGAGACTCTGGGCAAGTTATTTAAATTCTTTGGTCTCCTTGTTTGTAAAGTGTAATCAGTAACAGTACCTATACATTGCAGAGTTGTTTTGAAGATTAAATGAGATAATGCACATGTAATGCTTAAAAGTTTTTTTTGTTTTTTTTTTTGAGACAGCGTCTGATTATGTAGTTGAGACTGACCTGGAACTCACTATGTAGCCCAGGCTGGTCTCGAACTCACAGTGATCCTCCTGCCTCAGCCTCCCGAGTGCTGGGATTACAGGTGTGTGCCACCATGCTCGGCTTTAAAATAGTTTTTCTGCACATGATTAGAAGCCGGTAACTGTTAGCTGTTATTACTAATGGATTAGGGAAGATAATAACTGAAGCAGAAGAGTCTGATTACCAAATGCTGATGCAGAGGAAGTTTTAAATTAAACACTAATCCTATCATAAGTGTTTTAACTGTGGATAGCAGACATCCCTGATTTTTTTTCATACTAGTCATAATCATTGTTCAAATGCTCAGTTGCTTCTCATGATGAGGCCCAGAAAACTGCACATCACTAAGTTCAATGCACAGTTATGGTACTCTTTATCCTTCACTCACACTCTGGGACTCACTGTTGGGGATATCCCTGATTTTTATGCTTTCCCTAACCCTCATATATTATTGAGGAAGGGTTCACTTTCTTTTATCCAGTTCTGCTTGGTATATGAGAATTAGCTGAGAAGTCCTATAAATGTGACCTCTAAGGACCATCAGTCTGGTTGCCCCAGGTACTATATAAAGGAATTCTATGAAAAAAGAAAAAAAAAAATATATGTGTTCCTGAGACTACAGAAGAAAGAGTAGCAAATGTAATTACAGATTTCTTATGGAGTCGGGCTTTGAACCTGAGAGTAAAAGATTATACTATGGCTCTAATAGCTTTTTTCCTATGGCTGTTCTAGATATTGAACCTTGAACCCAGGCCTTCTCACTGAGCTACATTCCCAGCCTATTTACCTTTTTTTTTTTTTTTTTTTTTTTTTTTTTTTTTTTTAATTTTGACACAAGGTCTCACTAAATTCTCTAGGCTAAACTCAAATTTGTGATCTTTCTGCCTTGGCCTCACAGAGTGCTGTCATTACAGGCTTGTTCCACTAGGCCTGATTTAAGAGCCTTATTATTTTTTTTTTCTTCATTTTTTAAAGATAGTTTATGAGTCAAAATGCCTATAATACAGCACAGGTGCCTATCTTCAAAAGCTTTAGGCAGTCAAACTTACTGTAAGTCTGATTGTTAGAATATTTTTTAAATTTTTACAAAATTTCTAATGATTGTTGTAGCTTTTATGGAGACATCGGAGATTAAGCAGAGTTTAGTTTGGCACTTTCTGAAGCAATCAAGTAGGCAGCTTATTTTTCTGCTTGTTTTGAGTCTTAGCTCCATCCTTCAAGACATCTTTTTGTTTTAGTCTGTCCTGGAAGTGGAATTGGTAATGGGATTAGTTAGGCTCAAGGATGGAATGGGAATTTTTTTTTTTGGTACCAGGGATTTAACTTGGGACCTTGCACTTGCGAGGCAGGCAGTGGAACCACTGAGCTAAGTGGCCCTAGAATGGGAATTTAACCTCACATACCAGTAATAAGCCAAAAGTTTAATAGTAACATCCTACATTTTGTATATAAGATTAAATGGTCACAGTAGCATGAAGATTCGTCAAATCATAGTTTTAATTTCTGCCTGTATTGCAGGCAAGTTTAAAACTTTTAAGAGTAAATTACTGAAAACAACAGTAGTTCCATGAAATCTTTTAGGCTAGATCAGAGCTTTGGGAGAATTAATTAAATGCCTGGCCTTTTCTTTAGTGGATTTATTCATCTGCTATAACTGAATATATTAAGCTAAAATAATGCATATACAAATTTAAAGGTAAGTTAAATATAGAGGATGTTTAAATTATCTAATTAGAGATTATCTTAAAATATCTTTAAAAGCTTTCGATACTTATAGATGACATTTTACACCACAGATTCTAATTTTATATAAAAAAATCTTTTTTTGTACCAGGGATTGAATTCAGGTCCTTGGGCTTGCGAGGTGGGTGGCAGAATCACTGAGCTAAATCCCTGGCCCCTTTTATACATTTTTTTTTGGTACTGGAGATGGAACTCAGGTCCTTGCACTTGCGAGGCAGGCAGTGGAATCTAATTTTTCTTTTGTGCTTTCAAATATTTATCTGAGGAAACCTAAATTTGAAAAATTAAAATAATAAAGTAAGCACAGAAAAGAAATAGATTCTTAAACAGTTATTACACAATGGACATGAATTTTTATTCCAGTGAAGTTTAGCTAGCTTATTCTATCCTTTATGTAAAATTACTGCTTTTTTTCTGTATCACCACAATGTGAAAACTCTTGCAAATTACTCAACCTCTCTCAGCCTATCTTTAGTGGCAAACTAGAATTCTACCTACTTTTCAGAGTTGTTAGATTAAACAATATATGAAAATTACCAAGCACTGTGCCTTTTACATCTTCTAAGTAAACAGTATTAATTGACTTTAAGGATTTGTATATCTAGTCAATCAGTTTCTGAGCTATTTCCCAACCATATTAGTCCTTTCTGTGAACCACAACACAAAAAAGACAGCAATAAAATGTATCATATAGAAAAAGGTTAGCTCTTTAAATGTGGTGGGGTTTTCAGGAAGGAAAAGTCATTCCACTAATAAAATTCTGTTCTTTGTATAACCATATTTTTTTTTTTTTTTGTACTGGGGATTGAATTTAGGACCTTGCACTTTCGAGACAGGTGGCAGAACCACTGAGCCAAATCGCTGGCTCTATATAACCATAATCTTACTAAGACTATTTAATTCTTAAATTTCTATAGATACTGACTTTACTAAAGATCTTTCCTTTCTTGTTTTCCCTTGCTTCTCTTCTTTTCATTCCCCCTCCATTCCTTGAAAAAGAACACCTAATGATACTGACAGAAGTCATAAACCTGAACGTATTACCTGTTGTGCCTGAGTGACCATCTCCTTATAGATAGTATCCAGGCTGACATTAGATAAAGTGGTTAATGCTGATACAATTGTTTCCGCTTGTGCTTTGTCAAATCCTGTAGGCCACAAATAAGCATTCATATTTTAAAAATATATAACATTAAAAAATATATAACATTAAAAATATATAACATCCTTATCAAAATAGATAGCTGAAATAACTTTCCACTTTCCCAGACATTTATATTGTTATACTGTTTAAAAAAGACAGTAACATTAAAAATTGACTGATAATGCTAAAATTACTATGTAATTTTAATTCCTCATATATCTCCAGCAACACTGGATATTACTAGTGATTTCTTTTTTTTCTTAACTGGGGTTTGAACCCAGGCTCTTCATGCTAAGAGCTACATTCCAGGGACTATTTTATTTATTTCATTTCAAACAAGATGTCACTGAGTTCCTAAGTTGCCTAGGTTGGGCTCAAACCTGCCATCCTCCTGCTTCAGCTTTCAAGAGTGCTGGGATTATAGATAGGCATGCACTATCATGCTTGGCTCTTTGCCTATTTTTCTATAAAAACTACTGAATTTTTTCTCATTGATTCCTAAGAACTCTACCATTTAGCTTTTTATCTGGAGTTTCAATAAGAGATGTTTTTTCCAATAGCTAGACATTTATCACATCTTATTTATTAAGTAGTTTTCCTAATTTGTAATGCCTTATCACATGCTAGATTCATATATATGTCTCTAATTACCATAGTATTATTTTTTTTTGTTTTTTTTTTTTTTGGTACCAGGGATCAAACTCAGGACATTGCATTTGCGAGGCAGGCAGCAGAACCATTGAGCTAAATCACCAGCCCTACCATAGTTTTATTAATGAACTTTCCCATTCTTGTCATATCATAAATTGTCACTGGAGGGGCCGGGGA